ATCCATAAACGAGCTTAGAACTAACCCCCTATGAATTAGTTCTAAGAAAGGAATGCGATAACCAGAGAGAGAAGGCACGGGCGATGGGCCCCATACATCAGAATGTAAAAGGGCGGAGGGAATTGAAACAAGAAGAAGATTGGAATTCGTAGGTCTTGCCCGTGTTTGGCCAGCTGGCTGCTAAACCAAGAAGAGAATGAAGAACTAGCAAATGCAGGAAGCAATTGAAGGCGTTCTAGTTTGTTCAATGTAGTCGAAGACCTAACAACCAACAAGAAGACCTCTAGTTGCCCTTAGTTGCCAAAGCGGCGCCACGTGACATGGTCGTCAAGAGACCCTGTTTTCAGTTTTTTAAAACAACAATATTTTTAAAAAAAAGTTTCAAAACCTACGATACTTTTAATATTTTTAATTAAACTACAATATTTTTAAAATAAGTTTCATTTACAATAATATTAAAAAAAAAAACCCAATTTTATAAGTATAGGGACCAAAATTGACGTTTTGAAAGTACATGAACTAAAATGAACAAAAATTACTAGACCAAAATAAATATTTTAAAGGTATCTAGACTAAAATGAACTAACACAACGCCGTGGGAAATCCTTCTCTATACAAGTTCTCGGACAAGGTTTTAGTTGAAACTACAGACCAAAATAATATCTAAATGAAGGGAAAAAAACATTTACAATAGTTTTGTTTATGCCGGCACAATTCGAAGTTATTGCTTACCTCCTTAAATGTCAAAAAGTTCAAATCCTCACAAAAGTTCTGATTTTGATTTTTATTTATAACACAAATTATTTTCATATATAGTAACAATTTGCTTCATGATCATACTTACTAAAAAATATAGTTCTAACCAAAAATTTAAGCTAAAAACAATCATCTTCAAGACCTTATTGTTTTTTCTTTATTATTAAAAATTCATCTGAATCGAAAAAGGAGGTTAAAAAGTGAGGAAAACTATTATCAAATGGAACTTATATTGAAGAACAATGAAGCATCCATAACCAAAAAGAAATGAAGGAAGAAACAAGATGAAGAAGATCCATTGATCATTCTCAAAGCAAAAACTGTTGTTGGCAATGGAAGGTCAACAAAGAATATTTTTCATTTTTCCTCCCAACCCAACACCCAAGACATGAATATTCTCAAAAATAGTCAAGAAAGGCATAAACCCATTTGAAATCAAGAAATCTAAAGGAAACAGGCCATCAAATTTCAGCACCAAAAAAACTTCAATGCCACAGTTTTGCAAGTCTTTGATCCATAAATTTGGCCTACAAAAAGAGAACCCTCTGCCATTAATTGCATCATCAAAACTCAAAAGAAAATTAGTCCATTTTTGTGTGTGTGAATGGCAAAATTAGGGTTTGCATTTGGGGTTTTGATGTGTTTGATGGTGTTGGTAAAGGAAGGTGATGGCACTGAGTTCACTGTGGGAGGAGCCAAGGGGTGGTCTCTTCCAATGGCTCAAACCTATAATCAATGGGCAGAAGCAAACAGGTTCCAAATCGGAGACTCTTTAGGTATGTTCAAATCGGAGACTCTTCAGGGTCCGTGTACTTTTGTTGAAGTAACAATTTAGTATTTTATAGTTTAGTAATTTGTAGTAGCTTACTTCTTACGGTGAAAAGCCTTATCAAAATTAAGTGGGTTTTTATTATATAATGATTTAGCCTTTGTAACTTATAATTGCATTTGGTACGTTCTTCGTACATACATAAGAAATCCTATTAAATGTTAACAACATTTTTTACAAAAGGTGCTAAATTGTTACAAGTTTTAATTATAAGGACTAAATTGTTACCAATTTGAAAGTATAACGACTAAATCGTTATAAACTAAAGTTCAGAGAATTAATTATTGCTTCAATGGACCGTTTTTAAATTTTTATAAAATTATTGCAAACTTAAATCGAGCATTTTTTTCCTTAAAAAAAAAAGAAAGTTAGTGTCACATTTCAAACCGTCTGATAATGTTTTGTTTCTTGTTTATTGATTTCAATTTTAAAGATATATGAGTATTTGGTAATTATTTTTGTAATGAAAGAAGAAAGAACAATAAACAATAAACACTTAACAAACTGTTTTTATTTATTAAAAAAACGAAAAATGAGAAATGAGAAACGAGAAACAAGAACATGATTGAACAGACCCTTTGAAATTCAAGATTAGAAAGGACTATAAACTCAGTTTTGACATAATATAGATAGAGCAGACCAAATTTGATGTGTGGTGCTATATTTTGCAGTCTTCAACTATGCTGCTGATGAAGACTCAGTGCTTCAAGTAACCCAAGATGAGTACAACAGTTGCAGCATCCAATCACCAATCAAACAGTTCTCTGATGGCCACACTGTTTTCCAGTTTGACAAATCTGGGCCTTACTATTTCATCAGTGGAAACAAAGACAATTGCCTCAAAAATGAGAAGCTGGCGGTGGTTGTTTTGGCTGATAGAAGCAATTCAACTTCTAATCAGACCATCACTCTGCCTCCTTCTCCTTCTCCTTCTCCTTCTCCTGCACCAGCAAATGATCAAACTGGCACAGCTTCTCCCCCACCGTCCGGGTCGGGATCGACTGAAATCATCCCTTCTCCCCCACCTGCTGAGGAAGTCAGTCCATCTCCAGCGCCTACTGGGGAAGAGTCTCCGCCTGCAGGGATGTCTGCGATTAACCCTACGCCACCTCCTCTCTTGGTACAACCACCTCCGAGTGTCGGATTTTCGATCATCCCCAGCAGCATTGGCTCCATTGGAGCCTTTGTTGCTGTTGCTATATTAGCTTTCTTCTAAGTTTGGTGTTGGTCTGTCAATAAATCTTTGTAGATGATCTTAACTTTCTCTCTCCTAAGAAATAGCTGGGTGAGCAATCATCTGTGTTTCAAAAAGAATATATAAGAATTGGATTCAAAATCAGCAAGTTATTTCCATAGCTGACATGAACATATCTCAACTAGTCAAGACATTATTTATTTCTGTTAAGATTAGAAGTTCAAATTCCCACCTTCTCTGAACTCGAGAAGGAAAAAAAAAGGAAAAAAAAAACATTTCCTTAAGGTATCCAAACCGCCATTCACAATTTGGAGTATGCAGTTCTGTTTTATTAGAGAATGTGTAAGCATATAATTGAATTTATTTTGGAGTTCAAGTCCTACAAAATCATTTTCCTAGCAGGAAAATATTCAACAGAACACCTTGCTTCATTCCTTGTCTAAAAAAGCAAATATATATAACTAAAGTAACACGAAAAACCAGTCTGCAAAAATTCCTGGTAAAACTACAGGCTATCAAAAATTTTTGCCCAGTTCAACTTTCTTCATGAATCTAATAGTATTGTGCAGAATAGCATCCAATATTCCAGCGACCTGAAACAGAACGGAATGCCTATTAGAACATGTAGCCATAAGAAGAGTCGAGAAAGGAAACAGATACGTGTAATACTGACCGTAAAAACACCTCCAATGATGGCACATACATTTGTGATAAAATGTGGAAAGGACTTGTGGTTCTCAGTAATCACAACCTTTAAACAAGGATTTAAAGAGAATTAAAAAGCACTGACAAAAATTACAGCATTTGAAGATAAGCAAGAGAAGAAAATGTTTCAGATTTACAAAACCTGCATGGGGGAGAGCTCAAAATGGAATTTTGCAACAGGAATGTGTAGACTCTGGGCCACGCTGCTGTGAGCTGTGTATTCATACTCCTCAAGTAATTTACCAGATCTACTTGTCAGCACCTCTGTTTTAACTACTTGAAGATAATGCTCTATCTGCAAAGGCAAATGCAAAAATACATAACAGTATGTTTAATACACATTTAGCAACATTCATTAGCATTCTAAAAACTCAACATTGAAAATTTTATCACATTTTGAATGTGTTAAAAGCGCATTCGATCTAGTGTTTTTACCAAAAAAAAAAAAGAAAAAAAAATTTATATATTATAGTGTATAAAGTGCATGTATGATATGAACTGGAATATAACAAAATTTAGTGCGGTCTAATTGGAAGTGCTTTTTGACAAATCTCATGAAATTATCGCTTGTCTCTACCATATTTGGTTATCAAGGAAACTCATAGGATATTATATTAAATTCTAAGTAGGTGGTCACCATGATTTGAACTCATTTTCTTTAAGTTTCTTATTTTTCGTTGGCCCTCATGTCACTAGACCAACCTAGAGAAAGTTACTTTTTCATTGACCCTTAATAACCTACTAGAAGTGGTTGGTTAGAAAGAGGATTAACAGGAGGAGGTATCTGCATAGAGCGCCGGGTGCAAGCAGGTATGCTTAAAGAAGCAACCGGTTAAAAGCTTATCACTAATCTCTCTCTGTAACGATGCAAAATAATTTACATGGAGAAAGTCAATCTTCTAAAAGCACTCAGTCTTGAGTTCCATAATTATGAAAAGTAATTGCTGACTTGCCAAAAAAGATGTTAATGATACGCAAGCTGTGATATAACATGACATGCGCATGATGAACTATCCTGCGAAATCATATCCAAAAACTTACAGTAACATTTGCACCCAAGTCTCGCTGATTAATGAAGGAACGTCCATTCAACCTGTCATGGCTTCTACCGATGTACGGAATTAATTGTTTAACATCACTAAACACCTTGGGGGAAATCTTCCTACCAAATGAAAGGTGTGATATGACGTGTGACATATTCATTTGAGATGCATCAAATGAATGGGCCTCCGAACGAGCTGCAATTACAAGGCTTCCTGGAACCTGCAAACAGCAACAAACCTCCAATATTT